GAGCAGGGAGCCCGATGCGGGACTCGATCCAGGGACTCCAGGATCATGACCTGAGCCGAAGGCAGTCGCTTAACCAACTGAGCCACCCAGGCGCCCCTGGGGCAAGTTTCTTAACTTCTCTAAGACTCGGCGTCTTTGTCTACCAGTTGGGTGTAAGGAAAGTAGATGTGTAATGGGGATAATGAACCTCATGAGGGCTGGAGTGAGGGTTAAAGAGACCACAGAGGTCACAGTGTAGGCGCTCACCGGACCACCTTGTGTTATTGTTCTACCCTTAAACCAAGTACCTGGGAACAACTGCAGGATGGTGGTCCTGTTTGGAGAAAGGCTGGAGGGAAGATAAGGTCAAGACAGGATGGAGGGTCAGGTCGTGCTGTCTTCATTAAGAGCTAAAGCAGGAAGAGCACCATGGTGGAGGAGAAGAGCAAGATGGCGGAGTGGGCAGTCTGTCCAGAGCCAAGTGGGCAGCAAGCAGGGGAGAGGAGAAGGCTGGAAAGACTGGAAAACACTTGAGCCTTTTAGGGAAAAGAGTCTGCTTCCTGGGGGGAATATCTGAAATCCAGTCCAGCTGATTCCCAGTTACTTGGGGTTGAGATTTGGTACTAGTCAATTAGCAAAATCTGGGCCCAGAATGCAGAAGCAGACTCTCTTCCCACCTTTGACAGGGCTCAGGTCAAAGGCCTGCTTCCAAGACTCAGGTCCTAAACCTGTAGCTGTCCCTTTCTGCCTTTGGCCACAGTTCCATTGCTGCTGGGCACCCAATACTGTGTCTGCTGATCCTCTTGAATGCCAGACGCGAAAGAAAGGGGCATCAGCCGACCGTCCCAGTGCCCCCTGAGAGCCTATCTTCAGGAACTCTCTCTTGCCCTCCATATCAAATCTGGTGTGAAGCTCTTGAGCTTTTCTGGGCCACCCCTCAGACATATGAACTCTGGAAGCTTACTCTCCACTATGTGGAGAATAAGACATCTCATTCATTCGTCCTAAAGCATCTCTTCTAGAGCTAAAAGGTCCACAGCTTCCACATGCACGATATCATCCTCCTGCCTCTTCCAGAAGGAGATGATTGATTTCTCTGCTTCCACCCCCAAAAGGCAAACCTTGGCATCTGGGAAGAGCAGTGGCTTAGGTTGAAAGTCTTTGGCTTGAAGACTAGCTTGGCCTCTTGCCTGCTGTGTGACCTTGGATAAGTCATTTAACTTCTCTGAGTCTCAGTCCCTTTCATCCGTACAGTGAGGCTGCTGAAGGCCTGGGGAGAGAATAATGCCTAGGGACCGCGGCTGCCATCCCGGAAGGCCCTGCTGTCCCTGTGAAGCACCCTCCCACAGACAGCCTCCGCCCTCACTCTGCAGACCCCCACTTGGGGCTGTGTGTGAGAAATGAGGGATTTGGTGCCTGAACTGATGAAAAAATTTTAAATAGAGGATTAAAACAAACAAACAAGACATACTTAAAGAAATGTCAACATTATTTCCAACAGGTCCCAGCTCCCAAAGGGTCAAAAGGCCAGGCCAACAGAGACCCGGCAAGGCTACTTACAGGAGAGACAGAGTTTCAAAAAGACCCAGCGCCTGCGAACTAAGAAAGCCCGGGATCCAAGGGTGTGAGGGGAACTTAAAGGATCACTTTGTATTCAAATCGCACAGATGGCCTTTTCAACAATAAATGGTGTGCTCCCGTCCTCCCGGCTCCCGGGCCCCAGACACCAAACCAAGACAATTGGACCATGAGGAAAGAGACCATTGTGTAGGCTTCTTAGCATGATTTACGTGGAGGGTGGGGCCCAGCCGTGTTTCCCGTGATTATGACTCTCAGACGCAGTTTCCATAGCGTGTCCATCATCCCGGACGGTGGGGACGGACTGGGACGCTGAAGAGCTCCAGCCACCCGGTCATATTTCATCTTCTCAAGCCCGTGGAGCCCAGTGAATCGTTTCATCGATTTGAGAGGCAGAGCGCCGATGGCGCTGTGGCTCACCACAGTCCCCGGCCAGATGGGCCCGGGCCCTCCAGGAGCTGATGTCCGCTCCCCCGGCAGCCGGCCGGGCCTAGGACCCCAACGGGAGCGCCACTCAGGTCGGCGGCCGGTCGGGGACAAGCTGGGAGGAAAGCCCTGCCCCTGGGGCTCGGTGTTGTGTTAGGCTTCTCCATGTCCCTGTGGCCAGAGCTCCTGTCGTCCTCACCTATCTGGTGACCAGGTCCCGGAGAGTCAAGCTTGCTGCCTTCCCAGACAGGCAATTCTCCCGGGCCTCACATTCCCCTTAATGTCATTTTGTAAGGGAATCAAATGAAATCAAAGTGCCCCTTGCTGTCTGTGCAGATGCAGCTGCTCCGCCTCTGAGAGTTAACCCTGCGGGCTGAGTCCTGAACCACAGACACCGTGTAGCGCTAGGCAGCGGGCCGAGCTGGTTTCCCCACTGCGCTGGGACATCAGCCCGGTCACTGGCCGATACATTCCATCCCCCCTGTTCAGGGGATGTCTGATCTTGCCTACATGGGAGGTCAGGGACGTAATATTCTCTTCTGGGCCATCCTTCTTGGAGTTCAAGTGGCCACAGCCGCTGAGCAACCTCACCAGGCATAAGAGCCCTCTCTAAAGGCACTGAGAAGGTCTTACAGGACACGATGCAGAGACCATCCAAGGTCCAGGGGCTTTTCTGGCCTGAGCCATCTCTCCAGCCTCTTTGACCCCCTTTTTCTATGTAAGTGACTATGGTCCTACATATACCTTTTGTGTTGGAGCTATATTACTCGGACCTGTGACCTCCGGCTTCCCTCCCGCTAGGTCTTGGCAGTTAGAGAAGGGCATGAGAGCTGAGCTGCTCCAGGCCGTGAGCAGGCTGGGCTCTAATCACTGTCCCCCAGTAGGTCTTCCTTTAGCTAAGCCACACCTAGCCCCAGTCCCTGAGCCTTGGGAGCTCTGCAGAAAGCAAACCAAATCCACTTCCAGAGGGCTGAGTCCCAGCTTCCTGTCGGGCCATTCAGCACAGGACGGAGGGACAGCACAGGCAATCCCTGCTGAGGCCTGGGGGCTGTGAACTTCCTACCTGGGCCACGTGAAGTCCCTGCTGCTCCCCCCTCTTCCAGGGCCATTGTTAGAACTCGGCCCTGGTGCCCGCCCAGGCCCAGCCAGGAGGCTCTGTGAGGCAGGCTCCAGTGCTCACTTGCATCACTGAGAGAACAAGACACAGTGGAGGAGAAGGGGGGTGGGGCCAGGAATTCTCTCTTCTCATTCCAGAACCTCCACCACATCCCAGGGTCTGGAAAGTCCCATACTTACCTCCCCAACCACTATCCCTATCCCGGATGGGCCACCACTGCTCCTCACCTGGAAGACTGAAGGGACCCCTTAACTGATCTCTGCACACGCACTTGCGTGATCTGGCCCCCACACACCCACCTGGTCTGCCTCCTCACTCAGCTCCAGCCACGCCGGCCTTTGTTGGCCCGAGCATGCCAAGCTCCTTCCCATCTCAGGTACTCGCCGCAAGCTGTTCTATTTGCCTGCAACACTCCTTCCAAAGTCCTTGACTGGCTAACTCCTTTCTGGCCTGCAGGTCTCAACTTAAACGTTAGGATATTCCCTGCCCATCCCCCCACCCACCCACACACACAGTAATATTCTCTCTTAAAGGAATCCTTTTCTTCATAGGTGATCAGTTTGTAATCACGTGTGTGTATGTGTGTGTGTGTGTGTGTGTGTGTGTGTGTGTTGGTGTTGATCTATTTAATGCTCACTCCCCTACTAGGACTGGTATCTTGATAAGAGCAGAGACCATGGGGTGCCTGGGTGGCTCAGTCATTAAGCATCTGCCTTCGGCTCAGATCATGATCCCAGGGTCCTGGGATCGAGTCCCGCGCCGGGCTCCCTGCTTGGTGGGGAGTCTGCTTCTCCCTCTGGCCCCTGTCCCTCGTGCTCTCACGCGTGCTTTCTTTCTCTCAAATAAATAAAATCTTTAAAAAAAAAAAAAAAGAGCAGAGACCATATCCACGTCATTCTCCACAGAATCCCCAGTTCCTAGCCTAGAGCCTGGCATAAAGTAGATGCCCCCCAAATATCTGCTGGATGAAGGAATGAATGAATGAGAATAGATGAAGAAGTGATTGCGTGGAGATGTCTTCTGGCAGCGGAGGCTGATGACATTGTTCTCCGTCATGGCTGACCTCTGCCAACCTCTCCTATGCCCCCAAGGCGGGCCCTGGAACCACGGGAAGCCCAGATGCTATTTCTCCTCCTTCTTCCTTGTAGGGAAAAATCTGAGTCTTCTCCATTTGGGACGTGCCCATAGGGCCTCTCATACCACTGTGGTCCTTCTGATGCCAGTCCACACACACCCGTGGGGCCACTCCCTTCAGATGACCCTAGGCCCACCATCTTGGTCCTCCGTTTTGGGTCCAGTTGAGGTGAGGTTACTGTGTGGTAGGGGATGCCCAAGAAAGGGTTAAGTTGCCAGAAGCAGAGTCCCGCCCTTGGGATTGCTCAGCCAATCAGAGTCTGTCCTGATGAGGTAAAGCTTCTATCCTGGGTAGCATTGGTTGAGTTGGCCGGCCCCATCTCCTGCTGGAGAGAGCCATAAGGGTGGAGTTTCTGTGGAACCAGACAGAACTGGAATTAGCTCGCTGTCTACTCAGGCCAGGGCTGCCTGTCTCCAGGACCTGCCCCTGTTCCTTCCTAAGGTGCTCAGACAGACCCTGGCATCACCGGGGCCCCGCCTCTAGCTGACCAGTGGAGATGACAAGGCGTCACATCTGGGAGAAGTCTCAGAGCCAGAGCAGGCCCAGGAGGCCTCAGTTTCCCTGCCTGCACCCCGGAACACAGCAGGCAGTTACCAGGCAGTGACATGGAGCGATCATCCCATGCGCTCAGGGTAGCAGCATTCAGCTTCAATAAGCAAGGCCACTAGAAGAATCGTCCTAAATAAACATAGCTTTAAAATGGTAACAAAAGCAGCTAGTTCACAGAGTTCTTCTTGTGTGCACATGACATGAGCTTACTCGTCACGAGAACCCTGTTAATCCATCCACTTTACTGATGAAAAAACTGAGTCTCAGCAAGGCTCGGTGCCCCACCCGAGGTCACAAAGTGGTAAGAGTTTACACCTCCCATATCACTTGCCGTATCGTTTTTGAGCAATCCGTTGGCAGATCTGTCTCCGCCCCTGGACTGCGATCTCACAAGGAAAGAACGTGGCAGATCCATCCGTGCATTCCCACCGTGGAGTCCAGGGAGTACCCCGAGAACGGAGCAGTCCCTGATGCCCTGCGCCCCTCGCCTACCTGATGGCTGTCGGAAGCCTAATCTCCTCAGAGCCTTCCCGTGGCCCAGGCCAGTGCTGTGCGTGTGGTGGGGGCTCAGTGGAGGGTCACAGAGTGGAGATGACGAATGTGTGGCCCAGACCCCACCGGACGGCTCTGAGGACGCAACAGGCACAGCCTTTAAAGCGTGGAACGCCATTCCCAGTCACCTCTGTCCAATGAAAGGAGAGTTCCATAGGACACGTCCCATCCATCTCTGTGACCCCAAAGGATCTAACCTAGTGTCTGGCACAGAGGAGGCATTTGTTATGTGTATTTGATTGAATAACCAAAATAAGATGCACCTATTTGTCCCTACTGGCTCAGAACCTCAGTGGCCCCAGGCGGGATTACCTGTGAGTTATTCTAGATTAGAAGCAACCCAGCACTCCCCGTGGCGGGGAGTCTAGTAAAAGTTATCCAAGGCAGAAGAAAGGTAGGTTCCCTCCAGGAATAGATCCTGAAGCAAGTAGGCAGAGTTCTGATGAGAAAGAAGGGTGTGGTGAGTGGTGAGTGGAAGGAAGCTGGGTCTTAATTCTACAGAGAGAAGGGGAGCTCACACGGGCCGACCCAGGGCAGCCCCGTCCCTAACCGCGGGCACCTTAGAGGGAGCTGGAGAAAGGCAACAGAGCTCCCAGAGAAGGGGTTCAGGCCAGACACTGCCTGCCTCATTGTGTCCACACTGCCCCAGCTGGAGCCCCCCCAACCCGGACAGCAACCCACAGGTACCCCGGGGACAGCACGGAAAGCCTGTGACTTCCCCAACGGACCCAGCCGCTACAGGCAGCAGAGTTCACAGCAATCCAGGCCTGGGGGAATCTGCAGGGCAGGGTTTCCTCATGGAGACCGCATGACCCCAGGCCCTCCATGATAATCTTCCATGGGAAGCTTTCAGGATAATCCCAAAGTTCAAAGAGCCAGAAAGAGCCACCTGACCCATGCCTGATCAGGACCACTGAGGAAGAAGCTGCCAGAGGCCACACACAGGTAGTGGCCCAGCTGCCTCTCTGTTGTTCTTGGAATCCATCTTCTTCCAATACCTCTGCCTTTCCCAACAAGCATTTCATGTTCAGGGCATCCCATTTATGGTTTGCAAATTTGGGAAGAACTCTGCATTCCTTGAGATGTGTGAAGGGTCCCCCATTCCAGGGTATCAGCAAACACTGTTGAACAGGGTTGAGAAGGGGCGGCATGGGACTCTGGGGAGTTCCCTTGCAAACCCCTCTTTCCCCAGAGAGGCATCTGAGTTAAGGCTGGGAGCAGCCTGGGGAAAGGCTTCCCCCATGTACAGCAGAAGGCGGAGCATTCTCAGAAAGAACAAAGAAAGGAAAGGCATTAAAAAAAAAAAAAAAAAAGCATGCTACTCAGTCAGGACAAATTAATCAAGCAGGACTCTTTCTGCCTGAAAAGCAAGAAGCTGGGGCCTGAGCTCTGCCTGGTCTTCCCTCTTCTCTCTCCCTGGAGGTCAGCAACCTTAGCAGAAAGGCTGTGGCCCAGCCCTTGGCAAAGATGTTCACAGTCACCTCCGAGGCTGCCGGGACCTGGTGGAGCTGAGCACAGGTGGACGACCAGTGGGCCGGCTGGATGGCCACCAGGCCAAGTTGCTAAGGTTGCTAGAGCCCTCCTGGAACTCCATGGGCCTGGAGAAATCATACTTACCAGAATTTCTCTCGGGGAGCTTTTTGTAAGGGACCAGAAGGAATAAGTTGCTAAGACTCTTGAAGTGTGTATGGTGGGGGTGGGGGTGGGGGAGGTTGGGCTTGGGACCCCAAGGGGTCTGCCTGCCTAACAAAACATGGTTACATAACTCCCTTCTAAGGATTGTGGTCCAGTGGGGTACGTAGGGCTGCGCCAGGGTTTAGTTCTCAGGCAAGGAGGCAATTCTGAGGTTGTCCCAGTGCTCAGGCCCTCCTTCTTTACCCTTTTCCCACCCAACACACAGCTGCTCCATTAAACACACATTTAAAGAGTTTTGACTTGAACAGGCGTCTAACTGTTGCCAGCCCAGGGCGCCCATAGGTCTCGGCGTGGCCCCAAAGCTGGGCCCCAAACTCTGGGGTCCTTCCAGTGTCAGCCAGCCAAATCCTTAGCCTGCAGTGCCCAGAGCCTGTCTCAGAAACGCAGACTACCTTCAGCCACTCAAACTGTCCTCCCAACCGAAGATGGACAGACTGCCCAAGGCACCGAGAAGACAGTTGCCAACACACTCCAGAGCCTGCAAACTCTGAAGTTGAAGCAGAAAGAACTCTTCCCCCCACACCAGAAGGAGCTAAGCCCAAAATATAAGAAAGCTGGGGGGCATGAGTTTAGTCATGGATCATCCCAGGGACTGCCCCAGTGAAGAGAATGGTCTGGTTTCTGACTGTGACCAAGCCAGGATCAAGGGTACAAGGCAGCCTACAGCCTCAGCAACAGGTCTCTGATCAGTAGAAGAACTGGACAATGGGAGGGTAGCCACAGGATGCTGGGGCAGAGCTGGGGGCGGTGCACGCCCCACCGCTGTGGTTGAGCGAGCACCTGCTGCATCCCAGGCAATGTGCCATGAACTGCGTATGCACCATCTCATTTAACTCTCCTGGCAACACTTCGGAGGAGGAACTGTTGTTCCCAGATGGAGGCACCAAAGCACTGAGTAGTCGAGTGACTTGCCCAAGGTCACACCGCCAGTCAGCGGTAGAGTGTGAGTCGAAGTCCGTGCCCTTCCCGCTCTCCCCCTTCATCAAAGTTACTCTTGCCTCTGGCTAGTATAAAACAAAATAACTTTCAAGTCTGAGATTACAGGAGCCTCAGACTGTTACTCCCTTCCTTCAGGACTAGCTGCTGGGCTGCTATCTACCACCACTGCTCCAGAGGAGGCTGCCCAGAAACCTCCTGCCCTCAGCAGGCCTGTCCCCGCAGCCCCCACCATATGCCTGCCAAACACATGGGAAGAAGAAACAGGCCGGCAAGTTTACTGGCTGCCACTCGCTTTCATTCATCCTCTCCCCCTGAGCCAGCAGACCAACCACTCAGATCCTCCTGCAGCCAACCAGACCAAACCCCCAAATGGCCAACACTTTCACCAAAGAGAAGCCCCCCGCTTGACTCACAAATGGGAACTACAGCTGGGCCCGGTGGCTAGCATCCGGCTGACAAAGGGGAAGGCCGGGATCTGGCTCCTGTCCCATCCCCTCCACAGGCACCGGACCAGCTTCGGGGCGCCCATCCCCGGTCAGCCTCAGCTGGGAGGTTCTAATCTTCCCTGATGCTCCAGCTGGCCAGCCCCCAGTCCCCAGCAAACTCCACTTGGTTCCACTTGGCTGTGGCCTGCAGCGAACTAGAAACAGCTTCCGCCACAGACATCACCTCCCAACGATGCCGGCCCTCAGCCAGCATTAAACGCCCGTGTGCTACCCCTGGGCATGACCTACCGCATGGCAGAGGGGGACTCCATACCAGGCGGCAGCAGCGGGCCAACCCAGATTCGACCTGGCCAGAGGGAAACCATTGAACAGAGCCGAGAAGCGATGGCCGTGCTCCCTTAGGCTCCGTCGCTCTACCTGAGCCAGGCAAAACCCACCCGGTAGACCCCGTGAGACGCCAAGGGGGAGAGACACTCAAGCACGGGCCTCCCTGCCAAGAGCTTGTTGCTCAGATCCAAGTCCTAAGCTGGAGCTGGTCCCGATCTCAATTCGGAGGCTTGCAGGTCCGGGCTGGGGCGGGGAAGCCAGGCAGCCAGGGCGGCGGCCACCGGCGAGGCCCTTACCTTGCTCTCCGGGGGCGAAGCCATCAGCTGTTGCTGCTTAGCGATGTTCTCCGACAGGCACCAGCACACCCTCTTCTTCTGCTCCTGCGAGTGCGCTTCCAAAGTGAATAAGCACTCTGCCTTCTGACGTCAGGGAAAACAGAGGAGAGGATGGTCAGGGCTGCTCCCTGGTTCAGGGGGCTCCCAGGCCCAAGCCCATCCCTGAGCTCCAGAGGGTGAGGCTGCAGCAGCGGGGGCGGGGGGGCCCTAAAAGCCACAAATGCACACTAATCCCCAGTGACATCGAGGCAGCCAGAGGAGCAAGGAAGCTGGTTCGGGGGCCAGCTGGCCAGCGAGCGGCGTGTGCCCGCGGGTTGGGGTGGGGGAGGGGGGGAGGGTTAGCTCCCCACACAGTGGAGGCCTGTGGAGAGCCACAGGACAGAAATGGTGAGGTCACCCCCGGGGACAGGCAGCACAAGGCGGCAGCTGCAGGAGCACATGGGGAACCCAGAGGGCCAAGGTCTCCGGCCTGCTCACAGAGCCCCCCTCCCCCCACCTGGGCACACGATCTGATCACAAGGCCAAGGTTAGATGGGCAGCTGGACAGACATACCAACAGAACTCAAACAGAAACTCAGGTCCCTTCTGAAAGTCTCATGCGGGCGTAGTCACGTGGCCCCTACAGCCACACGCGTGCCTAGCCCCGGAGCTGGGTCCGACCCGGGCTCCTCAGCTCAGCCAAGTGCCAGGACAGGCTCCAGCGCTAGCACTGCTGTCATTCCCATCTCGCTTTGCCATCTAACCTCGTTAAGTGCAGTCTCACCCCCCCCCCCCCCCCAGCTAGACTAGAAAATCCTTCCAGGAAGGCCTTTCCCATCTCGGCCCAGCACAGTCCTGGGCAAGTAATGGCCTCGGTAAGCTCCTGGAGGGGCTTCCGGGATGAGGTCAAAGCCAGGCCAGTTTTGGCATAAGCATCAGGGCTCTGCCAAGACCCAGGGAGGCGGCCCCGGGGAGTAGGAGCGTGCTGGGGGGAGGGGCGGGGGGGCGGTAGAGCATGCCCAGGGCTATCACCCACTCTAGAACACTCTGGTCAGGGGACTGCAGGCTCTTTCCAACTCCGCTGGAATTTGATTATAACCTCACAGGGCTATGATTACATGAGCTCAGCCAGGGAGCTGAGAGCATGAGCTGGATGGCTTGGAACAGAGAAAAAGACAGTGTTTCTATGCAGTCCTTCCTCGTTTTGCAGTTGGACAGGCCTGGCTCGAATCCCAGCTTTGCCACTTCCTAGCGGTGCACCTTAGGAAAGCCTGTCGAATGGGAGTGGGAATGACATGACCCCCTCTCAGAGCTCATGAGCCGGTAAGTCACAAGAACAATCGGAGGCCTCGACAGACAGCAGCTACCGTTGTTACTGCTCCGTACTTCGCTCATTTAATAAATAGTTATTGAGCGCCTACTACATGTCAGGGACTGTTCTAGCTCCTGGGGGTGAAGAAGCAAATAAGAGAGACTGAGCGGGCGCCTGGGTGGCTCAGTTGGTTAAGCGACTGCCTTCGGCTCAGGTCACGATCCTGGAGTCCCGGGATCGAGTCCCGCGTCGGGCTCCCTGCTCAGCGGGGAGTCTGCTTCTCCCTCTG